TTATTTTACATTTTATTTTATTTATTAATTTTTATTACCTTTTATTTACCCCTATTTGTTTAGAAGGGTTATTAATTTCGTTTTGGTATTTTGCGCCTTCCATAATAAAACGGCTTTTCACTTTTAAAATTGTTACCACTAAATATTAGAGCCTTGCATTATACTTAAAGAAATTAAATAATGAAGAATCTGCAAGAATGTATGCTTGTTTCTAGCACTGTGAGAAGACAACGGTACTTAGAGGCATCAAATTATGAACAATGTAGTCCTCCACTCGAATATGGGGATCTAGAAACCCAGATCCCCATATTCGAGTGGAACCATTGCTTCGTGGAACATTTTGGATTTTGGAATTAGCTTTATTATCTATTTCATATTTTGTAAAACTTTAATGCTATTTTTCATTAACAGACTCAACGATTTCAAAGCGAGCAATGGCAACACAGTACCGAAGAAAAATTTTTATCTCCAGTGCTCTAGACTGTATATCAGAAATTCTAAAGATATGCTCTTTTGAAATATTTTGTGATATTGTTATTGAATTGAATTTTATGGTTTAACGGCGAAGAACATGATATTTAATAAATAAAGGTAATACACAAAAATTTAAAAAACGCCGCTTTAGGCGTATAGTGTTGCGTTGTCCCAACTTGTCAACAACTATGGTAGTGACTGCTATGAACTGTAAATTACACAAACTCGTAAGAAGGGTTTTAAAGCCCTTTTTATTCCACTTTAGAAATAACAGCTGCGTTCACTTGACGCTCACAAACTACGCCGACCCGGCAGTATAACAAAACAGAAATGTGATACTAAAAATAAATGACAGGAATGAATAAACAACTAGATCACTCCCTGCGAGCTCTCTAAATATCGTAACTAATTTAACCACGTTCTAAAATACAGTTGAGATTCAGCAAGCTTACTGATTAAGCAGTTAAAAGATTCTCAACGAACTGCCGAGATAGGCACACAGGCCAAAACGCGCGGTTCTTAAATTTCTACCTAGCAACCTTCACGTTCACGATTCAAGAAGCACACATACAAACTCGTTTCCCTTCTATTTAAACTCAACTTACTTCTGCTAAAATTTGAATATACTGCGCGTTCTACTACAATTTACATACTCTGGCATTGGCAATTCTAGGGGAAAGTAAAGGCTTGACAGGAAAGATAGCTTAAAATAAATGTTAGTTAAAATAAATATAAACCCTACATGTGTAATATAAAATCTAAAAGCTTTCAAAATTGTTTATTACTTATTTCATATTTTGTAAAACTTCAACGAATTGTTTGAGAAATAACTTCAACTGGTTATCTTTTTATACTATAGTATAAAGGCTAAAAATTTGCAAAACTCCTATTTGAACTAACATGCTGTTATGATTTCGATCCTTACTACAACTGCTTTCCGTTTCCTCCTCAGAATACAAATGAGATAACCACTATTTAAACTGAGGTTTTCGGAATTTAAGACAAGTCGTGTTTCTGGCTTTGCGTGCACGCTATTGCGTTAGTTTCCTGACAGTTGTGATAGTTGTAATTATTCGGATTTGCGTTATATCGCTGCCGACACCTTGACGCTCCGGTGGAAGTACTGAGCCAACTTCTAGTAATATTTAATTGTGTAGTCAATGACTACTATTTCAAATTTAGCTTAAATTTGTCTGTTCCATTGAGTTGCATCACAGCGAGCTGTGGCTAATTTTTTTTGCACAAGAAAGTGTCTTTGTTCTCTAAATTCTGCCTAAATAAAAAGGTTACTAAACCTTCTCAAGATTTTAGTTACTTCAGACACAGAGATAATTCGCGTCGTATTTATTAGGGTGTTTTGGACTAACTGGATTTTAACAGTTCAAATGCAAACCTACACAACTGTTCTAGGATTTCCTGAGTGTAATATTTCGGTTTGTTTTATACATTATCTTGTGAATCAGTTATTGATATTCAATAGCAACTCTTAATACTGAACTTAGGGCAGCTCTCAATTTGCTGACCTCCTGTTTTCTATGACCTTGTTAGGAGATCCGAAGCCTTTCCTGTCTTGCAAGACTTTGTTTGTTCTTTGAAGCTTTAGTAATATTATTTATACTATGATTGAATTTTAATCTTTTAATGTGTCAATGTATTATTTTGCGTATTGTCTATGTATGATTAAGATACGTGTTGATGTATTATTCTGTTGATGTATCATTTTTCTCTTGTATCAGTATTATTTTTAAGTATTATTTAGTTTTTGCTATTATTGTATTTTTATTTAGTTTATTTTCCTTTTTATTATTATTATATTATTAAGTTGGTTTATTTTCTTTTTATTATTAGTCCAAAGGGATTTGAATCCCGAAGGACTATTAGTTTCGTTTTGGCATTTTGCGTCGGACTCATAAATGTCGTCTGCATAAATGTATGTATATTTCTCGTATTGTGATAAAACAACGGTACATAGAGTCATCGAGTTTTGAATAACGTAATCCTCCAACGAATATGAGCATGTGGAAGACCAAATTTGAAATTTGAAATTTGTTTTATGATCGATTTCCTATTTTTTGAAACTTTGACGAATTTTTGATTAACAAACTCAAGGATTTCAAAGCGAGCAATGGCAACGTTGTGCAGAAAAAAACATTTTTTATCTCCAGCGCGTGAGTCTCTGTATCGGAAATTCTAAAGATATCTCGTTTTAAAACTATTTTGCGATATTGCTGTTTGCACTGGATCTTATGGTTTAAGTGCGAGGAACATGATATTTAATAAAGAAAGGTAACACACAAAATGTTAAAAAACGCCCCTTTGGACGTAATTTAAAATCTGAAACATTTCAGTTTTTTTTTTTTTTTTTTTTTTACTATATTATTATCAAGTTAGTTTATTTTTTTATTATTATCAAGTTAGTTTATTTTTTTATTATTATTAAGTTCGTTTATTTTTTTATACGAGTATTAATATAGTGTAATCCTTCATAGTGTATTTTAGTATTTTTATTATAATAGTATTTGTATTTTATATTTTTCTTTACTTTTCTCAGGCCTAGATATTATGTTTTTATTGTTGAATTTATTCTCTTTGTGCTATGAGCTATTTAATTAAAACTGTAAACCTCGTGGAATACTTCGTGGAACTCGAGGAGTTTTGTATTTGTTTTCTTAATTAAAAAAAATATTCAACTGCATTTTATGACAAGAACCAAACCATTAGTCAAGATTTTCGGTGTCTTCATTTCGCACCACGCTAAATTCTGCAGACTCTCGTTTAGACAAAGTACAGAGGGCAGAGTTGTTTATGATAACAAGGTTTCTATGACGACCTGTGCCACTCATTCTCAAAATGTGAATCGCGACTGTACAGCGAATCAACGAAACAGCTTTTGAGGAATCTTGGAAAAAGACCGAAATGTATTCCGAAATGGAAATTCGCTACATAAGAACAGATGCTTTTTAATTATTATTAATCTATAATTAGTATTAATTCTTAATAATTTTCCAATATTTATTCATTATTAACTGTTATCTTTATTTACTAGCCTGTAATTATGAATCCATTATTAGTACCTCAATGTCATTGAAAAAACAACTATATGTGAATCAATAGCGTTACGAATTTTGTATTTAAATAAGTAATTTTAGTAGAATTTTAATTAAAATTGTTGTGTTTTTCCTTGGAAAGTAGCACCAGACAAATTTTAAGGCATGCCGGAAAAGTAAAAATACAACCGCGGGTGCATTTAATATTTAATAAATATATATTTATTTTATTTATATTTATATTGAATAAATGTAATTGAACACTACGTTAGCTGTAACCGTAATTCCACACTTTTTGATTTCCAGAAATCTGGAGAAGCAGAAATGACTAGAAAGATCTCATGCGGCCAGTTAAAACTATTTAAAGCCAAAGATAGAGCGTTTTAATGCAGTTGTTTGGTTGGTTTATAAGGTATTTTCCCCCGCCTTCTTAACGAGCCTTCGTAGTGTAGTGGTCTGCACGCTCAGTGCGTAATTGTGAGGTCCGCGGTTCGATTCCCGGGGAAGGCGATGCTAATTTTTCATTTTTCCCCTTTCCTGCTTCCAAAAAGTATCTAATGTCTCTACAGTGGCGCCCGAACTAAAAAAAAAAGGTGTTGGATGATAATTCTCCTCATCCGGGATTTGGCGATTGAGTCCCCTAAAAAAACCCAGTTCGCCCTTTAAAACGGGCAGTATATAAAGTATTTCTCCCGCCTTCTTGGCATGCCTTCGTGGTGTGGTGGTCTGCACGCTCAGCGCGTAAATGAGAGGTCTTCGGTTCGATTCCCGGCGAAGGCGTTGCTAATTTTTCATCTCTCCTGCTTCCAAAAATTGCCTAATGTCTCTACAAGTTGCTTAGTTATTGTTATTGCGATTTATGTAGTTCCGCGTGAACTGAGATATCTTAATTAGCTTTCGCTTTAGATAACACTTTGCATTGCGAACGCTTTGTATTTTAACGTTTTTAGTAGTTTGAAGTATAACTACTGATTATTTTCAGTGATATTGTGAACACTTGTACGAATATCTCTGAGGAAAATTCCAGCGTTCTGTTATATATATATATATATATAAATTGATAAGATTAAATTTTATTAACCTTTTATCGGGCTAGCGCATTCAATCTAGTATTATGAACCAGTGCGCACTCAACAATATATTAACCAAGCTATTATTACTAAATTAATATTAAGCAATTTGATAAACTGTAAATTAAATTCTAATAGTAATTTGTAATTATTTATCCCAGTTTTCAAAATGAATCTAAAAATAAACAATTGAAAAATTATCTGCCTCTATGCGTTCGAACTCCTTTTCAGATTTTTACTTTCTTCAGTTTTATAACACTAGTAGTGTATTATTTAATAGTGTATTCCTTCATTCATCGACGCGTATTATTTCATAAAATGACTACTTGTCGGCTATATAAAACTATCGGGAGAAACTGAACTGAATAACACTTTTTAAAAATGATTTTACAAAAACTTCTGCACTTACTTGTTTGTATAAATTCTTTATAAAGAGACACGTTCAGTCAAAACATCCTTTCTTACATCATCAGCTCGCTCGCCTGCTGTAGGATTTGGCAAGAATCTTATCTCGTGTTAAGATTTGTACACGAGCTCCAACCAATGACGTTTTTCCGCTTTTTTTTGGTTGTTGCTTTTTTTTTTTTTCATTCTTCCTTCTGTGAAGAGAAGATTGCAGACACTTTATTCGAGAAATAAACAGCTGCACGAAATGCGAAAAATAATAGGATTCTTTATTTGTTGTTTATTTATTCAATCCAAAACATGCTGTTGTTGCATTTTATACTTTTGAGTGCTTCTTCGAAAGTATTCTAAGTGGCTTATTTTCCATGCCATTATTTTCCATTAAACATAACAGCTAAATTTTTGTTTTTCAGATGGAGTTTACAATAATTCAGACAAAGTGAAACTAAGATAAATTTCGATAGAGGATTGGTTTCGGATAGATAACTTTCACATTTAAAAATGGAGACTGATTCAAGTAATACATTTATCCTCAAACATGATATTATCCTTTTAAAAACTACAAGGTAACCATTATTTTGCATTAACCAGTTATTTATAGTTTCAGCATTTACCGAAACTTCTCCTTTCCGTTTCCTCACCAGAAATTCAAATGAGTTTGAGAGTATTTAAGCTAAGGTTTTCGGATTGTAAGATAGATCATGTTACTGTCTCACGACGTCGTGTTACTTCGTTTTGACAACTCTGAGGAGACTGCAGTTATTTGGCTTTGAGTTATAGTTGACGTCATTTAAATTGTTACCGCGCCACCCAACCGGGAGAGTAGTTAGCGACGTTGACTGCTGTACCGAAGGGCCTGGGTTCGAATCCCGGAGAAGGTATGAGCTTTTGTAAATGTAAAGTGTCCGTGCGGCATGGGGGCACTCTAAATATGCGGCGAACCGAAAGTCCTCTCGAGAGGTTGCTGGTAGGGGAAAAAGGGGTGGTATATCCTCTGACCCACCCTCCCTGAAGTGCTCTCCATGAAAATTGGGAGGGGGAGGAACTCAAGGCTCTTATCAACGACGGGCGCAATTTTGCTCTCCTTGTCACGATAAATTTCGTGAGCTTGTTCTGATGTTATTGTCAGACAAGTGAGATAAGTCACAAAACAATGGCATTCTGTCAGTAACATGAGCAGCTAATGTAATAGCTTAATACTGAACGTTAGATAATAATAAATACGAATACGCGTAACATAAGTAAATTTGCAGGATTATGACTACAGCAGAACAACAAAGAAAAATGCAAAAATGTTTTAGCTAAATCGTAAAAAAGAAATTCTCCTAGCGCCCTCTATTCAGCGAAAATCGGAACTAAAAGTATTTATGAAACAAATCCTTGAAAAGCTGCTAATACAAATAATCAGAATTGGAATTATTAACAAGAAGTAAAGCAAAAAAAAAAATTATGGACATAAAATAAGTCCATAAAAATCTAATTTGCCAACGGGAGATATTTTTGAGTAATATTTGCTGCAAGAAAAAAACAAAAGGATATTTTCTGACCAAAAGGTGACGAGTGACTAAAAGTGACCAAAAGGCGATCTATTAATTTTCCTTTTTCGGTACTTAAGTTATTACCACTATTCTATTGATTTCAAAATCAAAACGATAAGCAGAAGAATTAATGAAAATAGATTGTGAAGTTTCAGGTATTCTCAAAAGCATTTTGGAAAAATCTGGATTTAACTTTTTAGCTTTAGATGAGAGCACATGTATAGCTGACATCACCCAATTCTTTACCCAGTTCTTAGACAATAAACAAAGAATTTGACATTCATGAAGAAATGTTGGAATTAAAATGAATAGACATCAGTATCAAAGCTTATTTCGAAATGCGGAGGTTTTGAGAAGTGCTCTGGTATTGCAACAGATAAAGCTACAACAATGATTGTCATAGAACTTAGTTAGTAGGACTGTGTAAAGGAAAAGACATCCATTGTCTGTTTTCAAACTGGAATGTCCACCAGGAAGCTGTTTTTGGAAAACTTATAAGGCTCAGTAAGCCAATAAAATCTGCTTTAAATACTGCAAATTTTATAAAGGAAGGCAATGAAGTCCAGAGACACAGAGCCCTTATTCCATTCCTGGACAGTTTGCAAACTGAGTATGGTAATATTTCGTTGGACTTTGAAGTGTGCTGGCCAAGTGTTGGAAACTGCCTGCAGCAGTTTTTGAGTTGATGAATGAAGAGGATCTTGCTTTAGAGGAAAAAAAAATTAAACATTGGGCATGAGTATCAAGAGAAACTGGAAAAAACCAGTTTTTAAATAAGCTTGCTTTCCTGACAGATTTAATATTCCATATAAAGGCTTTAAACCGGAAACTACAAAGCAGAAAACAAAACATCTCGCAGCTTTACGGAGATATTTGAGGGTTTCCGGGGGAAAAAAAATTATATAGTGCAAATTACACTGAAGGCAAATAATTCAGCACACTTCCCATCTTGTCAGCAGCTGAACTTAAAAAGAAAATCAGGCAAATTTTAGTATGTGCCACGAAATAATTGAAATGGTCATTAATTGAATAATTGTGTCACAAAATAATTGAGACGATTAATAATTGAATAATTCTGTCACGAAATAATTGAATGATTGTGTCAGGAAATAATATCAAGAATGAGTTCCAGGTCAAATTTCAGGGTTCTGACACACTGAAACCAAATTTTATACTGTTAAAAAATCCCATGGAACATGAAGTGAATGAGGCCCAGCGACTTTCATACGGAAATTTGTGATCTTCAGTCAGACTCATGACCCTAACAATTTCTGGAAACTGATTTCTAAAGAACATTTTTGCAAACGGCTTAAATTCTCTCTGTAGGAGTTTTCGCTGTTTGCCAACACATATGCGTGTGAAAGAGCTTTTTCTACTCTCAAACAAGTTAAATCATAAACGAGAAATCGCGTTGAAAGTGTTTGAGTGGACTCGACCCCGAGACTTTGCCTTAGCCTGAGAGTTTGCCTGGATACTTAATTGACATTGATAAAACTTGTATTAGAAAAGCAGTGCCAATCATCACGTTGATTTCTCGACTATAAAATAAAGCGATATTATTAAACTAGTGAGTTATATGTAACTCGTTTTCTTCCTTTAATGTCTTTGGTCCACACTTTCGTATACTAAAGTCTGATTGGACCTCGGGCAACTACATTGTAATAAAGCATAAGATAATTTCAAATTTAATCTGGAAAGTTACTGAATAATAAACTAAGCAATTTAGAAACAATCAACCCAGTTCTTATGAATATTTTTTGTACATTTTAATGTGGTTGAGTTAAATAAACATGTATTAAAGTCACGAGTTGTCTAATTAGAAGTATTCAATATTTTAATGAAATTACACTAGCTGGATTGATTAAAATCATTACATATTTGTTCTTTTAAACGATAATTATTTTAAGCGGCTGACCCTATGAGCGGCTAATTTTTAAAGAAATGATATAGTGAATGTAAAAATATGTATGGCAGCTTCCAACACTCTATCAGGAATTCTAATGAATATGTTGTTCTTAAATATTTGGTGATTTGACTATTGAATTGAATTTTATGTGATTAAGTTCGAAGAATGTGATATTTAATAAATAAAGTTAATACATAAAAAGTTAAGAATAAAATTTAAAAAAAGGCATTATTAGTCATCTTACTAAGTAAAATGAATGTTGAATGATGAACTGGAAAAAGACTAAAAATATATATATAAATATATGCCAACACTTAACACTGCATCGGGAATTCTAGATGTATCATGCTATACAGCTTGTTAAACTATATGTGGCGTTAATGCGAAGAAACCTATGCTTAATAATAAAGCAAAAATGAGCTCAAGACTAGACTAGTAGACTACTAGCTCAGCAAGAGTTTAAAAAACTTCAACAAATCCTTTTGGGCGAACGTTAAAATCTGAAACCTTTTAGATTTTTATTTCACAGCTTTTTTTTCAAATAAATCTACCTGGGCTCTTCACTAACACGTAACTTTTCATTTTTTAGTTCACTGTGGTTAGCAGTGTCTGATTGTGTGCCTTCTTTTAGAATTACTTTATTGACATGACTACGAACATTGTACAAGGTTGCAAGACATGAGGAAAATTAAAATTTCATGAGATCTTTCAACAAAACTAAATGTGTCGCTAAAACAGAGGGATCTCTTAAATTTTTCGAGTTCTTCTAAGACTTACATTGCGTTATCACGTTCAACAGCATTCTGTTATTAAATTCGCATTTAACGCATTTAATTTCATTTCTCGTTTTTCATCTAATTTCACACAGAAATTTTTATATCAGTTGCATATGACTAGTCAGAATTTTTCGATGTTTTGACAGATACAGAAATTAAAATGAAAATTATTTGGATCCAGTACATATATTTAAAAAAAGGAAAAAAAAAATCTGAAGGCTTTCAGATTTTATATTAGGCTCAAAAGGGCGTTTTTTTAGAGTGCGAATATCGGCGGGAAAAAAACAACTGATCAAAAAGGAAGCTTAATTTATAACTAGAAGAGAAAACACCAATGCGAAATCTAAATAAAAAAAAAAAAAAAAAAAAAAACCTTGATTGGAAAGAATTATGAACAAAACTCTAACTGATTTTTTAGGACTTTGCTCGTGAAAAGGACGGAATTATGTCTGATTGCCCTTCAGTATCATAAAGTTTTATTCAAAATACATTTTGAAACCAATGGTCTCTTTTTGACTAATTTAAAATTCTAAATTTATCTTTTAAACGGAATCCCTAGAAACTGACAATTTTAATTTCAATTATTTTAAATGGAGAAGTACAATTTCTGTGGTCAGTTTAACCTGCCTTTGTTAATATTTAGTTATGCTTGCTACATAGTGTTTTTCTGCCAATGTCATTCACTTTTTATCTGCGATAGGTAACTTTAAAGCATCTGCTTTGAAATAGTCACAAGAATGATGAAATGTAAAGAATATGCTGCCATCTATCGGGTAAAAATAATACTAAATAGAAAGAGCAACAAATTGAAGAAAATATGTATAGTACTATATAATATAAAAATATGTAAATAGTAAAATATGTATAATAATAGTATTTTTAGTATGTACTACAACTGTACATTTTCTAAAGTAAACTTAATGATATTATTTTGCATTGCCAAAACCGAGGGTAGCCAGAAACATAGTGTTCAA